TCTTGGTATAGGGAGACTGCACTGTGTGTAGAAGATGTTTGACAGATGGAGTAAATAAAGCACCTTCTCAGCTTGATTTATTAGCTTAGTACAGATCTGTTAAGGAGTTTATGGTATTGATTTGTAGTGTCAGGTCCTCTTTAATTCAGTGTAAACTTGAAATAACCATCTTTCATGCCTATAAAAAGGGTAATGTTTCCTTTCTGGGTGGATTTGGAGGCTACAAGTGGTGCTCCAGTGGAGGTGGAGCTGTTGAAATACTGCAGCAGAGTCCCTTTGGTTTGGCACATGGGAGTTAATGTGCAGTTATGTGTATGTGTGTGTGTGTGTGTGTGTGCTTGCGTGCGTGCGTGCGTGCGTGGGTGCGTGCGTGCGTGCGTGCGTGCGTGCGTGTGTGTGTCTTTAGCTGTTTGCTGTATATCAGTGCTGACATTAACAGACAGGCCTCCTGCTCTGAGATGAATGAGAGGGCAGATTGTGTTGAAGCTGATGAAGTGGCCTGATGCTCATTAGACGGCTGCTGATAGGCTGATGGATGCTTCTCAGTTTTAAGGCGGCACTCCCCAAATGATGAATGGGGCTCTGTTTTTAAGGCAGCACCTCTCTCCCTCTCTTGTTCTTGCTTCCTCTCTTCCAGAGCAAACAAGAGCCTTCAGTGTTTATTGAACCATTTGATTTATAAAGAACGTCTCATTAAAATAAACTAGCACTGTGTCTGTGATTAATGTTTTGCTCCTCAATAACAAAGAACAAGAGCAGGAGGCGGAGGGAGACAGCCTATTGATTGGTTGATGCTAATTTGGAGAAATAACTTCAGCCAAGAGTTTACAAAGCAAAGTTTTTTTGATTTGGTTAAACACAATGGGGTTTAAGAAAATGTTTTATGTAGGCCAAAGCAAACTTTACAAAAAAGGACTCGGACTCATGATACACAGTATAATGTCTTGATTAAAGAAGACTTATGTACCCTTTTATTATGTCATTCTGGGACGCCTATGGAGTAGCTTCGCATGATTTGCAGCTTAGAAAACCCTCACTTCGTCAGTATTAACTCTCTGATTCATTTTGGATCATTTTCACTGGTATAAAGTCAGACACAGCTTTGGGTGTTACATTTTACACAGTTATGTAGTCATTGAACAAACTGAAAATCATACCTCTGCAAAAATCCTCTGATGCTAGCTGTTAGCACCCACGAAGCTCCTCCTTTTTATGTGTTGTTCCATTGACCTGTAACTTACAGCTTATGGCGCCAAGGTTGTACTGTTCTGTTTAAAAAGGGTCATCAGGGAAGAGGTCAGTTCCGGGGACTGACCTCTGACGTCACCTCTGTCAAAGTTTCAACGTATTTTTTTCTTTTTTAATCTAAAGATGCTTATATTTTTTGCATTTTGGAATTATTTCATGCTGATGCTGATGAACTTGGCTGTTGAAGTTATGTTGCACCACGAATTCCATTTTGCTTAATTAAGTCTAAAGGTTCATGCTTCTGTGTTAGATACATGTGTACATATGTCCCTCGGTATGTCCCTATGTAGTGCTCCCATTGTGAGCACTACATACTTCTGCATTTGAGAGTTTGGTCTGCAATACTCTGCCAAAACGCTAGTCAGCAGTGCATTGTCTATGCTCATCATATCTGCAGTGCCTGGTCCTACTACATTCCCTCCATGTCTGTTCACAGGTGGCCAAATCCAAGTGTACTACATATGGGGTGAAGCTGATGAATGATGTGCAGCTATTGATCATGCTTTAATTATTGCAGGGTATGTTAGCAATACCAGAAATGTCCACAGATGAGCAGACCAATCACAGGGCTTATGTGGGCACATTGGCTATGGATGTAAGGTACAGAGCATAGGCTACAGCGTATTGGTCAGATGTAGAAGCATGAACTGAACCAGGCTTCAGAGACTGGCCCATGATGCATGTGATCACACTTAGATGCAATGGTGCTTGGTGTGCATGTGGATCTAAATACTGTCTATGCGCAAGTACATCCAATTCTTCCAACAACGTTAAGTGCTGCACGCTTGTTTTGCACTTAATCTGCATGGGAAGACTGCATCTGAGCAGTATTAGCCCAAGTATAAATCCTACAACAAATGTAGTGGTGACATTTAATATCAATACATTCCTTTTTTTTCATTTCTTGTCTTTAGTATCATTATTGTTAGATCTTTCACAAAATGAGAATGTGAGTCGGCAAGTGTCTTCAGATTACTTTAAAAAAATCCCTGCACACACAACATGCGACCAACTGACCAGGTAACTCCATACGTGCAGAGTTTATAGCCTGCTGGCAGGGGATTCAAACTTTAAGACATGTGAGTCCAGCCTCATCATTTAAATCCAATAACTGATGCACAGACACACAGGGAGTTATGATGTAAGTTATCTAGTCGTTGCAATGTTGTGGAACATGCATATGTGACTCAATAGTGCAAACCATATGATCAAACCTTATTGAATTTTTGAGTTTTATAACAAGAAGAGTGGGTTCCTTCATAAAACCAGGTTTGGCCTAAAGAGATTGACAGACAACACTGCTGTCTGCAGACAAAGGAGACAGTTTAATCACTGGAAAGTGAAAAAAATTGAAGAAATAAGAAATTCAAACCAGATGATAACTTACTGTGTGACACTCTTTGATTATCAGATTATTTTTCCACAGATGAAACAGGGAGAGACAGAGAATGAGTGGCTGAGTTATTGATTTTAAACCAGCAGGAACAAACAGGCTGAAATGATGTTCTGATGAGGCCATGCAGTATGATGAGTTCATCAATAACACAAATGAAAAACAATCTCTCTCTATCTCTCTGTCTCTGTAGCTCTGACAATCGCCCTTATCGTTCTTAACTCGGCTCTTTGTTGGATAAATCAATAGCGTCACCGACACACTGGCTGGTCACTTCCTGGGACAAAAGCATTTGAATGTCACAGCTGGGTGCAGACCGAAGGCTTGCAGACTGTTCCAGCTCAGATTAAACCTATGAGACGTCCCTTTATCAGACAGATGGTTCGCTTGATTCAAGAAAAAATAAAAATAAAAAATTACATTTGTTTCTCTTTCCTCTCTGCTGCCTGGTTGGTTAAGCTGCATGAAATAAACTGAAATTTTTAGCCGGGCTGGAGTAGATATAAGGCTTTGAGATGAATAAATGAAGGGGAAAGTTTGGCTTCAAATGTTGTTGGCATTGTTGGATGCTTAAAATAATGCCCAGAATTGCTATTAAAGTGTGCTTGATGTCTGGCAAAGTGAAATCCTCTGATATTGTAAAAACAGCCTAAACCCTTATCTAACAAAGTACAAAAAATACAAAGAACTGTAAAAAAGGAGGATGAGATGTTCTTCTTTAGCTTCTCAACATTTGAGAGTTATCAAAGACACAAAAGTATTTGAACCCATGAGCGCTTTGTAGGCTCGGTGACCCCTATCAGAACCTCTCTGACCTTTCGGGGGATATTCAGGTCTTAAAGTTTGCATTTGCATGAATTTTCTCCCACACATATCTCATAGCTCAAAATAATAGGAGTCAGAGGTCAACTCGCAAGCAAAAACACTGTTTGGTTGAGATGCAGAAGAGTGAGTCTGCCCTACAGTTGCCTGTTTCTGCGCTAACCATGGTGGTTCAAAGGGGGCTATGTTGTGTCTAAGATCACAGGACTCATACAGCAGCGTATGTGAGGACAACTGTGACTGACAGCTAACCTTTAAGCTGGTCTATGGAGGGCCTTGTGGTTGATGACTGGGACACATTTGGAGATGGTTTAAGCTCTTCTTTGCTGGTTTTTCTGACAGCAGCATGCAAGAGCAGCCAGTGATCAACAAGTGGTGCGATAGTTTTCTGTTAGTCTTGAAATAACAGAAATAATCACACAACAGCTGATACACAGAAGTGTGTATGCACATGCTTTTGGCAGAGAGAGATTTATATGGCAGCTGTTTGCAGCACATGTAAAGATTCTGGCACAACATCACCAACTTCCTAGGTGCTTGGAGAAAAAGGCTCTTGAAGGAGTCGAAAGAGCTCCAGCAACACTTGTAGTTCAGGAAAACAGCTTTATTCGACCAACGCATTGCGGCTTGTGGCCTTCATCAGGGTCATGCTACCTATGGAGCTACAGAGTTTTTAAAATATCCTGGTACCAAAAGCTTGAAAAAAACCAAATGTAGTTTTATTCAGGGATAAGACCAGGAACAGGTTACAGGCAGGTGGTCTGACCAGCATCACAGACAGATGTTAACAGGCGCCTTAAATACTCTTTGGCTGATTGCCCTCCCCAGACGGATCCATATGCAGGTGTCTCCCCAAGATTAGATCTGCTTCCTAACAACCTGAACACCATTCAACATTTACCATTTACCCTTATCCTTCCTATAAACTACAAATCTCTTTGAAATGTTTCCCATACTTTAACCTTACACCTATTTATAGAGAATACAATTTTAGATCCAAAACCTGAACTCCCCTCTACAAGTTTTCTGTGCTGGTTTTGCCCCGCAACATTTAGCTGGGTATCCGTTTGCCCCCGGACTCTTTAGACCGGAACACTGGAGTGGACACAACTCGAAACAGGTAAGTGATCACATCAATTCACCCTAGCCCTTTAGCCACTTTAGCACTCACACACACTTTCCATATCATAATGCACACCTACATTACCTGCACACATTTTTTAGAACACTTTGTTTTCCAATAATTAATATTGTTAGATCGTATCTCTTACAGGCAGAGCAGCGCTCCCGAGCCAGCCCCTGCCGAACACCACACATCAATAATGGGTTACTTTCACAACATCGGCTAATAATTACTCACTCCACAATGTTCATTATGAACTGTGCAAATAGGCAATGTGCAAATGTAATGTGTAAATTTCACTGATAAAGTGCAAAGTGCTATAAAAGTGCAAAGTGCTATTAATCATTTGTGCATAGTATTTGAAGTACACCCCTGCTGTGCAATATTTACATGACAAAAGCCGTCCGTCGCTAGTAACGAAGCATCTTCGTTATACAGGTACCAAGACATTTCCACTTCTTTCCAGGTTAACCCCTCAGTGTGAAGGCAGTCATCACTTCTCTCACTCGCTCCGTGAAGTGATGGATGTGTGAGGTATGTGAGGATCATGTTCTTTGACTTTTCAAGTGCATTCAACACCATCCAACCCACCATACTCAAAGCCAAGCTCACAGAGATGGGAGTGGATCCTTCCTGTGTTTCCTGGATTGCAGATTACCTGACAGGAAGGCCACAGTTTGTCAGGCTGGGGAACTGTGTTTCTGGGACATTAATGAGCAGTACAGGGGCTCCACAAGGGACAGTGCTGGTGCCATTCCTGTTCACACTGTACACGTCAGACTTCAAATACAGCACTGAGTCCTGCCACATCCAGAAATACTCAGATGACACCACTACTGTGGCATGTATCAGAAATGGACAAGAAGCTGAATACAGAGATCTGATAAGGGCCTTCAGTGACTGGAGTCACAAAAACTGCCTCCTCCTCAACACCTCAAAGACAAAGGAGATGGTCATAGACTTCCGTAGATCCAAACCCCCTCTTCAGCCAGTGAACACCTGTGGAGTGGATATCGAAGTGGTGACATCATATAAATACCTAGGTGTACATCTGGATAATAAGTTGGACTGGTCTAAGAATATAGACTACATCTACAGAAAGGGGCAGAGCCGCCTCTTTTGCCTGAGAAGACTCCGATCAGTAGACATCTGTAGTAAGACGCTGCAGATGTTTTATCAGTCTGTGGTGGCAAGTGTGCTGTTCTACGCTGCAGTCTGCTGGGGAAGAAGCATCAAACACAAAGATGTAAGACGTCTTATCAAACTGGTGAAAAAGGCTGGCTCAGTGGTAGGACTCAAGCTGGACTCAGTGGAGGATGTGGTGGAGAGATCTACACTGAGGAAGGTGGAGACTATTTTCAAGAACATGGATTACCCACTTCACAACACCTTGATGGATCAAAGGGCAAATGGTGGTGGACAGCTCCTCTCTCTTCGCTGCAGGACAGAAAGATTTAGAAGATCTTTTGTACCAACAGCCATCAGGCTTTATAACTTTTATGTAAATAATAGATAACTTTTATAGACATATTACATGAGACAACAGACAATTGAATTTCCCTTCGGGGATCAATAAAGTTCTTCTTCTTCTTAAGTGTCCTTCTTTTACTTTTAGGATTTACACATCAGCTCACCCGAAAACTTCTTTCACTGGGAGTTTGTGGGAAAAGTGTGAGCTCACATGAGTGCAGATGGGCATATCCACCCTCCAGAACAACCCACTGTAGTGCTTTCTCGTCATTTCTGTCACTGCTAAATACTTTTATGACTCAAACTGGTTTTGATTCCTCTAGTTTAGTAACATGAATCACTGAAGGCTGAATCTTTGGCTCATTTTGTTTATTCTGCTGAAAACTTGTTTGATACCAAAGTGGCTCCTGAACAGTAATTCCTGGAGACTCTCTTGATGTAAAAACTGGAGAAATTTATTCAAACAGCTCTGATTCCTTTGCTGCTCTTCACATTATTCTGAAGTGTAACTCCCCAAACTTTGATAAATAAGTCATGGTACTTACGCATGCAGGAAAATCAATCATGGACGCGTATTCTTTATTTCTCTGGTGTATTTTGTCTCTTCTGCTCCGTTTCATCACAGACACTTGAAACATCACTGAGTTTTCATCACTGAAACTGAATTGAAACCTTGAGAATCTGCTGATGCTTCCCACGGAGAGACAACACTCACATCTATTTCGTGCAAACTTGAAAAGACATGAGGATGTTAGGAAAGGACGCGATGCATGCAAACACTTCAGAATGAACGGCAGGGTGAGGAATCGTTTAAAGAGGCAATGTGAGAAAATGACAGCAAACTGGAGAAACACAAGCTCATCTAAGTGGGAAAAGGCTGCAGCTTGTTTTTGCAGAGCTAGCACCATCAGCCGTTCTCCTTTAGATCCAAAACAAAGTGAAATGGCACATAAACTTGCAAAATGCAATCAGATGACTAAGATTACAGAGTATATTCATGTGTGGGTTTCAACCTGCAACAGCTGTTTTTGAGACTGCACCACACACACAAACACACACACAAACAGGGCATATAAGAGGGGTTGCATTTTGGTGCATATGACGACATTCTCACTTACTTATCCCCGACATGTCGCCCACCGCTACAACAAATCACACTCAATCTCACTTTTATCCTTCAGCTCATCTTTTCTCCATGTGCTGCAAACCCACAAGTACACACAAATACACAGGTACACACACACACAAACACACACACAGGAGAACAGAACTTCAGGACTGCCGTCATACAATCAATATACCGTACACACTTGAGCCTCAGAGCAGCTCATGCAAACATACATCCACTTCATCTGCTCTCAGTCTTTATCATCTGATAGTCAAATATCATCCTACTCAAAACAATACATACACACACACACACACACACAAACACACACACACACACACACACACACACACACACACACACACACACAGCATCATACACTCTGCACCTTCCTGAAGCTAATGAAAAAAAGATGAAATGCATCTGAGAACAGCCCCCCTTGACTTCCCTCTCTTGAACCCCTCTCCCCCTCCCTCCTATCATCATCTCTTTTTCCTGTCCAGCTTCATACTTTCCTTTTTTTAATGCCTTCCTTCTCTGGTTTAAATTCCACTCTACTCGTTCCTTCATATTTAATTCTCCTTTCATCACTTATCTCTCTTCTTCTCTCTTTCTTAAAACAAATGATGACATAATCTTTTCAATTATGTAAAATCCTATAAAAGTGCTGCAGTTTAAATCTGTCAATAGTGCTTTGAAAACCATTACTCGAACAAATGATGGACATTAAGCCTAAAATAAGTCATATTCAGTGATTTGTGGATTTTTTTTAATTTTTATTACTCACAAGTTTAAAAGGACAAGAAACAGTCAGGGGCACTTTTGATTTGAATCAGTGTAAATTAAACGTCCTTATGGAGCTCCAGACTGTATACTGAGTCTCCTTTTTGTTCCTGTTATTATTAATAAAGCCGTGGATACAAGAGAGGGGGAGAGTCTCCATCAAGCATGGTTGGAGTGAACCACGTTCAGCGAATTGCTGCTTTGTTTTCGTTGTGGAAGGCCAACAACCGTCAGAGATGTAAGCATTGTCATGTCTGGGTCTCCTCCAACAGTTGTGCCCGGTTGACGACTGTTTCCAGTGGTATTTCATTTCATTTTTATTTGTTAAAGAGGGACAGTGTACATTAATGAACATTTTAAAAAGATAAAATGTAAATGGATCCAATTGTAGCCACAAGGCTAGTTTCCATTGGTAGTCCCCCTGCCAGAAGGAACATGGCTACCTAAAAAGGTGGGAAATCAGCAACTACATAAAAACATACATAATACACAATATTTAAAACATCAACATTACCCACCCGAAAGCACGCCAACCAACTAATGGGAACAAGTTTGGTTTTCAAGTAACCACCTCTTCAAATTTACTTTGAATGCTCTGTATGAATTGGACTCTGTTATGTTTTGTGGTATTGTGTTCCAATCCTTGAAATCCTTGGTATTTTCAGGTTACCTAAACCCAACTTTCATGAATTTGCGTCATCCGCGCAAATGACTCGCTCAATTCATGCGATTTGAGCCACCAGAGTAATACAAGCGTTTAATCCCATCTTTGCTTTGACTTTACATGTAATTCTTTCACGTGAATGATTTTACTTGTGCTTGGTGTGAACGCCCCTTTTGGAATAAAGCCGATAAAGCCAACACACCACTGGATAACAGCGCAGGCCTGAAGATGATAAACATATAATTTGAACTTAACATGATGAGAGATTTTTGCTTTGTTTCTAATTATTTCATGTGCTTTGGGAAAAAGAGGATAAGTCACTCAAAAAACAACCCTCCAAAGACTGAAAGTGAAATTTGAAGGAGGAAAAGGAAAATCACTTACAGCTGGTGTGAACAGTGTTCCTACACCTGTGTGATGTCGTGTGCACCTGCTGAACGATTTCAGCGGACTGCTCTCTCTCTCTAATGACCGTCTGCAGGGAAAACGCTTTTTAGGATGCATGAGATTTTTCAGCTCCAGTGCCACCTTGTTAAACTGAACAGCAAGGAGCGTCCCAAAGGGCTGCCCTTCACCCTGCTCACACAGACACACACACACACACAGACACACACACACACACACACACACACACACACACACACACACACACACACACACACACACACACACACACACACACACACACGCACTCCTTCAGTACAGTAGGAATGAGCTGCAGCTCGTCTCAGAGAGCAGCAGCTTCTGAGTGTATAAATCACGCTCTTCTGCTTCTCAGCATGGAGACAGAGAATCTTTTTAGAGTCCTTGTCTGTGTCTGCTCTGCTGTTAGGGAACGTGGTTCTGTGTGAATTTGTTTTCTGTCTTAGAAACATAAGAACAAGAAGAACTTTATTTATCCCCAAAGGGAAATTCAACATTATAGGATGTGGCTGTAACATTCACTACAGAGAGGAGCTGCATATGGGCTGCATGCCTTCAGGATTACACTCCTGCTCATCCTGAAATACAATTACATGCCAAGTGGAGCTCAGTCTGTGTGTGAGTGCAGTATAAACTTAAGCGTGATAAACCATTAAAAATTATTGTTGTTCCACTGCAGTTTCCTCATCATCCAACTTACCCTCATTCTCTTACCTTATGGATATATATATATATATATATATATATATATATATATATATACACATACGAGCTGCAGCTCATATATATATATATATATATATATATATATATATAATATACATACGAGCTGCAGCTCATATATATATATATATATATATATATATATACATACGAGCTGCAGCTCATATATATATATATATATACACTCACCGGCCACTTTATTAGGTACACCATGCTAGTAACCGGTTGGACCCCCTTTTGCCTTCAGAACCGCCTCAATTCTTCGTGGCATAGATTCAACAAGGTGCTGGAAGCATTCCTCAGAGAGCTTGGTCCATATTGACATGATGGCATCACACAGTTGCCGCAGATTTGTCGGCTGCACATCCATGATGCGAATCTCCCGTTCCACCACATCCCAAAGATGCTCTATTGGATTGAGATCTGGTGACTGTGGAGGCCATTTGAGTACAGTGAACTCTTTGTCATGTTCAAGAAACGAGTCTGAGATGATTCCAGCTTTATGACATGGCGCATTATCCTGCTGAAAGTAGCCATCAGAAGTTGGGTACATTGTGGTCATAAAGGGATGGACATGGTCAGCAACAATACTCAGGTAGGCTGTGGCGTTGCAACGATGCTCAATTGGTACCAAGGGGCCCAAAGAGTGCCAAGAAAATATTCCCCACACCATGACACCACCACCACCAGCCTGAACCGTTGATACAAGGCAGGATGGATCCATGCTTTCATGTTGTTGACGCCAAATTCTGACCCTACCATCCGAATGTCGCAGCAGAAATCGAGACCCATCAGACCAGGCAACGTTTTTCCAATCTTCTATTGTCCAATTTCGATGAGCTTGTGCAAATTGTAGCCTCAGTTTCCTGTTCTTAGCTGAAAGGAGTGGCACCCGGTGTGGTCTTCTGCTGCTGTAGCCCATCTGCCTCAAAGTTCGACGTACTGTACGTTCAGAGATGCTCTTCTGCCTACCTTGGTTGTAACGGGTGGTTATTTGAGTCACTGTTGCCTTTCTATCAGCTCGAACCAGTCTGGCCATTCTCCTCTGACCTCTGGCATCAACAAGGCATTTCCGCCCACAGAACTGCCGCTCACTGGATATTTTTTCTTTTTCGGACCATTCTCTGTAAACCCTAGAGATGGTTGTGCGTGAAAATCCCAGTAGATCAGCAGTTTCTGAAATACTCAGACCAGCCCTTCTGGCACCAACAACCATGCCACGTTCAAAGTCACTCATATCACCTTTCTTCCCCATACTGATGCTCGGTTTGAACTGCAGGAGATTGTCTTGACCATGTCTACATGCCTAAATGCACTAAGTTGCCGCCATGTGATTGGCTGATTAGAAATTAAGCGTTAACGAGCAGTTGGACAGGTGTACCTAATAAAGTGGCCGGTGAGTGTATATATATATATATATATATATATTATCACTATATTTTTTTTATTTTGAAACCCACAACCTGGATGCATGTAAAATACATGTTATGTACAAGTCGGCATTCCCCCAAACTTTTGTCTATGTCATCAATTTGAAAAAATACAACAAAAAATCTTTAGGTTTGAGGGCCTTCTCAAACACCTTCATTTTGAGTGACCTGAAACTCAGAAACTAAATGTTTTGTATCCTGTCTAATGTGTTCAGGTTTGTCTTTTAGTGTAAACTTAAAGAAAGCGTGTCAGCTTTATGCAGCACCTCGTGTCTAAGAAAATGTGTTGAGAGTATGTTTTTTAACATGAAGCAATTTCATTGAAATGAAGCCTCAACAGAATGAAGAACAATATTTCACAGATAAATTCTCTTCTGCTCCACAGTCGAGGTCCACCGTGTTCAGAGATGCCGCCACCGCTGCAAAATGAATTGCTTTTCATATTACATTCTGAAGGATTGCTTATTTTGAAGCTCATGTAGGACAAATGTATGATGGGAGATTTTTCAGCTTCAGTGCCCCTGTGTTGTAGATTACATGTATAAGCAGATTTGAGTGTGGGAAGCACATTAAATGTGATACTTTCATTGACTGACACTGTACAATAGGTGAGTGGGGTGGAAATGAGGCATGCATGTAGGCTTTGTGAGACCACCAAGTTCGACTCATAACAGGAAATGTCAGAGCTACAATGGCTGAGCAATGGGTGAGCAGGCTGATTATATAGGAGGAAAACACGACAAAGAATACAGCTGAGGAAAGATGGAGAGCTGGCTCTTCAGAGGAGGGAGCAATTAGAGGAGGAGAATAGGAGATGTGTAATAGCTCTGCAGAGCAAAGGTCCTGCTTCAGAAGATTAGTTTTCAGTCTCAGATGGAAGATGAGGTGTAGCTGCAAGCTCACCCTGATGGAAAGGTCATTTTACCTCATAAGAGCTGAGGAAAAAGATTCTACTTTGGATGAAGGTCAGCTTGTCTGAGAGCACAAAGACTTGCTGAGATATGAAAGTGTAGGACAGAACATGTTCTGAAGCTGTAGGGCTGAACTACAGGGTTTTTCCACTGGTCCTTTTTCACGTATATTTCGTATGGGCTCTGCTCTTTGAGGCTATCATGAGCGGGTTAATCCCTCGTGTGCCACACAGCTCTGAAAACTTCAGTCTCCACCTACCTGCGTGATGACTCTCACCTCCAGCTAGATCCTGCCTATAAAAAGCTGCAAGACAGAACAACTTGCTCCCAGTTTTTTTTTTTTTTATGCAGCAGTTTGTTAGATTCAGTGAGCATGGCGTCATCCAAAGCCATTAGGGTGTGCACAGATAGACTACATCACGAGCCATGATCTGCACACTGGCAGATTACAGAGCTTTCTGGTCTGGCCCTGCTGACGATGTGTTCCCAGAATCTGACACCTGCCCTCAGGATGATGCCATCCCACTGTCGGATGAAGTCCACGACGAGGATTGCCTCTTGCACCCCCTTTAAGGTGGAGAAGTCACAGCCTGAGGTCCATTGACCAAATGCTTGCCCAGGCATCCGTAGAGTCCCATGCCTACCACACCATCACCGCCTTGTAATCAGAGCCCTCTTCTGAGAGCTTCCTGCCATTGTTCAGGGAGCAGCAGTCATAGAAGAACCTTACTATCCCAGCTCAACGCAAGCATGGTGGCGCCGCTGGCTGCTGTGCCTCAGCCTAGGTGGCTCAATGTGATTGTGCTGGGCTCGCTCTCCAACCATCAACCATGACCAGTCTGGGGTAGCAGCTGAGCCCTGAAAACTGAAGGTGGCCTACACGTGTATCACAACCATACACTGTATACACTTTGGGCAACTTGGCTCCGCCTTCCATCATTATACGAATTTGAAGCCGAACTGCTCTCTGTATTACCTAGATTTTCTCCACTTCCTGGAACCACACCTTGTGCAGTAGTGTTGTACACATTCAAATCAAATCAAATCAAATCAAATTTTATTTATATAGCGCCAATTCACAACAGTCGTCATCTCGCGTACCCTGAGGTCCTCTGGCGCCGGCCTTTTAGTTGTTCCTCATACAAAAACCAAAACTCACGGAGAGGCTGCCTTCAGCCATTATGGCCCAAAGTTATGGAACAGCCTGCCAGAGAACATCAGGACCGCAGAGACTGTTGATGTTTTTAAAAGGAGGCTCAAGACCCACCTTTTTAGTTTGGCTTTTAGCTGATTTAACTGTTTTAGTTTATTTTATCCTTTACTTTTATCACATTTTTATGTCACTTAGATATTCTAACATTATTCTAATTTGGTTTTAGTTTATTTTATCCTTTACTTTTATCACATTTTTACGTCATTTAGATATTTTAATATTATTTTAATTCCTTCTATGCCCTAGTCTTTTTAGCTCCAGAGTTTCCTCGTGGGGGCCCTCCACACTGGGAGGTATGTCTGGTCCGCCCCCAGGGGGCGCGGTCCTTGGGATCGTCCAGGCCCAGACGGTTAGGGGGCTCTGCACTATGTGCAGGGTGCACCCGGGCTGTCTGGGTCGGGGGGTCTCGGGGGCGGTGCTCCCTGTGGGGGTGGGCTGTGGCTCCTCTCGGTGTGGACGGCTCCCATAGGTGGTCTTTCCTTACCAGAATCATCAGTGCCTTGCCATGTTTTTACTGACAGTTACTGTGTGGGTGTGTGGATACGTGTGTGCGTGTATGTGTGTGTGGGGTGGGCTGCTGTGCATGCCTGTATATGCTGCTGTGGGTGGGAAGGGACGGGTTTTATGCCTATTTAAGTGCCCTATATTTACTGTTGTTTGTTTTGTTTTTTCTTTTTTTAACGTTGTTTGTTTTTACCTCTTTGTAAAGCACTTTGTGTTGCAGCTTAAAAGCATGAAAGGTGCTATATAAATAAAGTTTGATTGATTGAAGTTTGATTGATCTCAAGACGCTTTTCAAGGAACAAGAGCAGGTCTAGACCACGCTCATTGTTTGATGATCAGGAACCAACCTAAGATGGGTTTTGGCCCATCTCAACTAACATGAGTAGCAGTGGCAAGGAAAAACTTCCTTTTAACAGGCAGAAACCTTGGGCAGGACCAGCCTCATGTTAGACAGCCACCGTGCCGCTGCTGGGTTGGGGAGGAATGTAGAGAGAAGAGGGGAGAGGGGAGAGGACAGGGGGAGGGAGAGAGAGAACAAGATAAGGGAAGGCGAGAGAGAATGAGTAAGGAGAGGGAGGGGGAGGGAGAGAGAGTAGGGAACGAGGGTGAGAGAGAGAGATT